TTTCGCAATATCAATCATAGAATTTATGTCGTTATTGATTTCCACAAAAGTAACACGCCTTGATTTCCCAGTGACAACTGTTACAGGGCCTTGGATATCTGCTAGGGGTTGACGTACATAATGCTTTATCAAAGATCGCATTAAGGTGCTCTTTCCAACCTGTTTAAAAATGCTAATAAAAACCAGCAAAGGATCATCTTCCAGTGAATCAGCAATTCATGACGACAAATGTAATTAACGTCAGGAAAAAACTTGTACGAAACTCACCTTTGTTGGTCCCACGATAGCTACTATAATCGGCGGAGGCTCCAAAGGGGTTCGATCCACAAGTGGTATATGCTTCTTTTTCTCATCTTTATCTGCAGCCCTACAATGAAAGATACATATACTTCAGCAAGTAGATATACACTTGCAAATGATTTTTAAGCTACCTTCTAATTGCACGTCCAGCTTTGACAGCAGAACGAAAAGTAAACCCTTTTCCTGTAGTATTCCTCCTCTCTCCCTTTTTCTTTATTTTACCGCCAGTTTTATGCTCTGAAAAATTTCTCAAATCTGTATGCGTCTCAATGAGCAAAATGCAGCAAAATTAATTACTATATAAAACAAAACAGACCTTTTCAGAACACATAATATGGGCAGTTTAGAGACACAATTATGAATTTTAAAATTTGAAAGAATGCAAAAAATTTCTACCACGAAGGATTTAAACTGCCAAAAAAAATGTACAATGTTTCGAATGAGTCAAAATGGAAAGTTCGCTAACAAGCAACAAATTCTTCCTGAAAAACTTACCTCGATGAGGTTTATGAGTTTCTTTAACAGCATCCGCAGGACTACCCATATTACTCGAATGTATAAAACCAAATTACGTTGTACCTAGCGAAAAAGGATTATAAAACTGACCGAACCATGAAACCTTAAAATATGGTAATCAATAAAAGCAAATGTAACAATATGTAAACCTAATACATTGAATAAATTTTGCAATTCCTAAAGGTTTAAACCGGAAAAGATATCAAATATCACTAACCTAACAGAAACGGAGATATTTATATACCCGTAAACTGTGCAATATTTTGTAGGCAAAGTCAATCCTAACTTTCTCTATTGGCTCTGTCCCAATACGGCATTATTTTTGGCAAAGTTCCAGTTTTCTGAAGTATTCAAACCCAAGGTGTCCAACGATTCGGAATCCTTGACATTGACTGATGGACGCTGTGTTACTTGAGTGAAGGTTACTGGCAGCTTTTAGGTACTTTGTATCTGTGCCTCTGAGTGCAATATTGGCTAACTTTAAATAGGACTTACTATAATTTTTGAAAATTTTTTTGGGATCTCAAGCGGCGTATCTTATGTGGATGTTTAGTGTATTAAATGGTAAGTGAAATATTTGATATATTGGATACCACAGCGGCTACAGTGTTTGGTTACTTTAATGTTTATGTTTGACTTATATTTATTTGCTCAATGTTATTGGGAATACGACTACTTTATTAAGATTTTCTTGGTTTTATGTTTAGGCCTAATTTCTTTCAACTATGCTTTATTGTACAGTAGTTTGTTACTCTGATATACCACTTATGCAAGCACTCTAGCACTATCTGCGGCAGTTTTGATTCTGAATATTTTTGTTGTTATTTTTTTATCTTTCGGGAACTACTGAAGAATAAACTTTTTTAGATTGCTTGATGGTTATTGTTGTGCTGTCGATGTGTTTCGTCAATTGATAGCTCAAGTATTTTTGTTCTTTTAATTGTGTGGTTGAATCAAAAGTTCCTAATTACTGTCGTTGTTTTGGTAATGATCTTTGGATGAACATCTATACTTTAAAACAATGCGTGTATATTTACTTGTGTCAACTACTTATAAAAGAGTCCGCTTCTAATTTGATGTGAAATTTTTAGGGAAAAAAAAATATCTTTTAAAAATAAAATTCCAGCGGCTCTGGCAAAATACCAGTTTGTCATATGGAGGTACCTAGAAGTTACTCGAGCCATCTCCTTAAGGTACGTTAAACTTCTAAGTCACCTGTGCTCATGACTCGTTACCTACTGTACATTGCTCGTTAATGTTTTACTCTTTATGTTCACAATTTCTTGCTTCCATTTCCTTTTTCAGCGGTAAATATGAAAGTAACTTCAATTTTTACAAATACTTTCAATAGTATAATTGTAGTAACTTTGTTAGATGCTCATATATCGTAGTCGTTGTTTTGATTACTATAATCTACGTTTGAATTAATTCAACATGTAAAGAAAATCGATTGTAAAAAGCAAGTTAGCCCAGGTAGAGGCTTATGAAATTATTAGAGAAATACAGCTTCTTATTGGATAAAAAAATTTTAAAAAATATTACTCAAAAAGTAGCGAATACTGAACTGAAGTAGGAAGGGGGCAATGACGAGGAAAAAAGGCGGAAACATGCTATGTCTAATTCTTTAAACCTTGCTAT